ATTTCACATCGGGTTCAGCTGGTCACGCAAATTCATGATTATGTTTTTTTCTTTATTTTTTACTGACAAATAGCAATTTCTGCAAGTTATAAAAAAAATAGAGCTTGACATAACTAGAAAGCCTTATATAAATTATAAAAATGTACATGATTTTTTTAAAAAATGTAAAAAAAACTTTTCCATGTGTTATTTTTTTTCCAAGACTGGGAATTTCAAATATGGTTGTTCTTAAGAGAACAAATTAAAGTAAGAAATATGTCAGCTTACAACCTGATTTGTAGCAGTTTTAGCTTATTTTAAAGCTTGTTTTGTCTTGAAGTCATCTCGAGGCCCCCTTGGAAGTTTGCTGAGGTCCCTGGTTGAGAACCACTGCAATTAGACCTTTCTGAGCCACCAAACGTGACCGAACCTTCAGATATCGGAGTGCACGAGCAGAAGCGTGTATCTGAGCGCACCTGGTTTAGAGCGGGCCGAGCGCTGCGAGACGCTGGAGCTCTGTCGGAGGGGTTTTCTGGGCAGCCGGATGTGTGTGGAGACGGGTGAGGCGTCTTTCTCTTCACTGTCTGAATGAGAGCTCGCAGTCTGACCTCCTGACCTGGGCTCATCTTCATCCCACAGACCGTAGCACTGAGGAAGAAGAGCGCGTTCACATTGCATGTTCAGTCAAGACACGTGACACACATCACAGAGCGTACTCTTGTAGCAACAGCAAACATTAATTAACACAGTCAATATATAGATTTGACTAGAAATCTGTTTATAGGATATATAAGTGTACAATTATCAAATACACTTTCAAGCTGAAAGAGTGCACTTTTTGTACTCTTCTCTCCTTGCATCCCAAGTTTTTTTAATGTGCTCCTGATTTTTGACTTTAGGAGCACACGTGTTCCTTGGGAAAAAAAGTGCGCTCTCTTTCAGCAAATTTTCCACAGCCAAAATCCACTGATTTCAATAGAAATCCAAGCGAATGCTGGAAGATTTCCACACACAAATTTCACATCGGGTTCAGCTGGTCACGCAAATTCATGATTATGTTTTTTTCTTTATTTTTTACTGACAAATAGCAATTTCTGCAAGTTATAAAAAAAATAGAGCTTGACATAACTAGAAAGCCTTATATAAATTATAAAAATGTACATGATTTTTTTAAAAAATGTAAAAAAAACTTTTCCATGTGTTATTTTTTTTCCAAGACTGGGAATTTCAAATATGGTTGTTCTTAAGAGAACAAATTAAAGTAAGAAATATGTCAGCTTACAACCTGATTTGTAGCAGTTTTAGCTTATTTTAAAGCTTGTTTTGTCTTGAAGTCATCTCGAGGCCCCCTTGGAAGTTTGCTGAGGTCCCTGGTTGAGAACCACTGCAATTAGACCTTTCTGAGCCACCAAACGTGACCGAACCTTCAGATATCGGAGTGCACGAGCAGAAGCGTGTATCTGAGCGCACCTGGTTTAGAGCGGGCCGAGCGCTGCGAGACGCTGGAGCTCTGTCGGAGGGGTTTTCTGGGCAGCCGGATGTGTGTGGAGACGGGTGAGGCGTCTTTCTCTTCACTGTCTGAATGAGAGCTCGCAGTCTGACCTCCTGACCTGGGCTCATCTTCATCCCACAGACCGTAGCACTGAGGAAGAAGAGCGCGTTCACATTGCATGTTCAGTCAAGACACGTGACACACATCACAGAGCGTCTCTCTACCTTCAGGATGGAGCGGTGGAAGAAGAGCGCCAGGAGCTGGATCAGGTCGTAGTGGACGTAGCCCTCTTTCTTCTCCACACCGATGATGTTGGGAGGGTGGAAGGGTTTGGATTTGTCCAGCTTTATGCTCTGGTTAAACGGAAAGAAGCCAAACTGGAAGAAGTACTTGATCACTATGGTGACCTGTGTGAGAAAAGGAGTACATTTTTCATTTAAAAACACGAGTTGCAGTGGGATGGGGAAAAAACCCGCCATAAAGTCTTGAGATATGTTTTTTCAAAGTTGAACTTGCATTAATTTTCCATGGCTTTCTCTTTTGTGCGAGACGCGAGTGCAACAGTGATAGATGTCCCTCTAGAAAATGTGCGAAATATGTGTTCTGTGTGAACGGCTTGGATTCAGTTTTGACGTAAACAAGATCTTCTCCGCATTGATGTTCTCTTTTTCCACAATATTTATAATTAACAACACAGCAGCGCCGCATCTAGTGGCTTCAACTGGATAGGCTAACAAAAACATTATAATGCAACGACACGTACATTAAAAATTGCTTGTAAATCTCTCCTTTGGTGAAACTATCATTTTTGGGATTTTTGTGGGATTTTTTGGGATTTTTTCCCCACCTTGTTATACTTGTGGTGTTCCGGATGACCGGCACACAAAACACTGCTTCTAAATCTCTCGATATGCGATATTATCACCAAATCTGGGATTCAATCTTTGTATCAACTTGTTTTTTGAAAGTAGCACAGGTTTTGTGTTTCTTTTTGGAACTGATTGATCGCAGGCCTCATTGATCTGAGCTTATGCATCAATTTTTGAGTGAAAAAAGCATTATTTGTGAATAATTTTGGCAATATTCCCTCAATAACTGAGGTGCATATTAAGTTCAGATCAATGAGGCCTGCGATCAGTCAGCTCCAAAAGAAACCTACAAAAAACAAGTTGATACAAAGATTGAATCCCAGATTTGGTGATAATATCGCATATCGAGAGATTTAGAAGCAATGTTTTGTGTGCCGGACATCCGGAACACCACAAGTATAACAAGGTGGGAAAAAATCCCCAAAAAGCACAAAAAGGATATATATTTTTTGGTAATTTGTTAAACCCTGTGTGAGCGAAGCCAGTAAGTTTTAGTCCAATGTGAGAACATTAACTAGCATTTTCGGGAAAAAGAAAATCCTCCCCGAAACACAACATGAGTTGTGTGCACAAAACTTTACAGTAAGTAAGTAATTTGTTCACATGAACAATAAAAAAAACTTAAACTAAAGCATTTATTATACTTGTTAATTTCAACATTTACTAATACATGATTAACAACAAAAATTATATTTGTAAATATTATTTAATGGATCTGAGCGGAGATGAACTAACAATGAACAGCTGTGTATTAGTAGGATTAGTAAACAAATACTGAAATAAATTTGATGCTCATTGTTAATTAATGTTAGCTAACTAATGCAAACCAAAATGTGGTTATTTTAAGGTGTCCTTGTTGCAGTGTGAGTATACAATTAAAGCTGCAATACATATCTTCTTTGTTTCATGATATCTTTGTTTCCTTTTTTTAACTTTCAACATTTAAATACAGATGTAGATGTATAGATGCAGTTCTGTTTATTACTTGCTAGAGCGCTAAAAGTTATGTATTACAGCGTTAAGTACTGAGTAATATAAACAACATGTACTACAGGTTTAGGGTTTGCTTTAGTTGTTTGTAATTATGCATAATTTACTCGTATTGCTATAGTAAGTGCATGTAACGTGTGCAACAAGGACACTGTAAGATAAAGTTACTCAGTGTCATGGAGATACTGAACGATCGATCCTGAATCTATGGTGTGAGAGTGGAGCGTCACAGATGCAGCGATACCTCCGTGTAGACGATGGCCGTCATCCAGAAGCGTTTGCTGGGCCGGGGAACCGACAGCATGGCCCAGAGGAAGATGAGGATGGGCAGCACCAGCGTGGCCACCGATGCGGAGATCATGTGGTTGAGGATGATGACCAGATAACACACCATCTGAGAGTGAGCCACCAGCATGCTGTAGAGAGCGTAGCAGAGCTGGAGGAGCTGCGGCTGAGAGCGGTAGAAATGCTCCGACGCCTCCAGCTCCTCGTCGTAGAACGTCCTGACGGAGAGAAACAGACACAATCAGATATAATGCACTTTTGAAGAGTGCTTTCACACACAGGGAGACTTGTCACACTTTTTTCATTTCTAGTATTTTTCTTCTTATTTATTCATTTATTTTATTTGATAAAAGTCTACATAATTAAAGGCTTGGCCACAAAAGGCTTTTGAACATTTTCACAGTTATTGCCCAGGACATATTTATCACTTTTATTTTGTTGTCACAATGGGAACCAGCTGTTTTGAGATACTGGAGCAATACGTTAAAAATAAATAAATAAATAAATACTACTATATTTAAATGTATCTATACATCTATATCTGTATTTAAATGTTACAAAAGGAAACAAAGATATCATGAAATAAAAAAAAGAAATAATAAAAACAAATTGTAATTAATCTGTTTTTTTTTCTCCCCAACTTACTCCACATGACACAAATAGCCTTGTTTTAAGAACATAATTTAAAATAATGCAACCAATTGGGCCTTAAAATATTATGGCTACTGTTAAAGATTTTATTAAATTTTTTTTATAATTTTAAGCGTTGTTGAAATTGATACACGTCAAATATTACATGATTGTATTTTTACATACACTACTGTTCAAAGGTTTGGGGTCAGTATTTTTTTTTTACATTTTTTATTCAGTAAGGACATTAAATTGATCAAAACTGAGAGTAAACTCATTTATAATGTTAGAAAAAAAATATTTCAAATAAATGCTGTTCTTCTGAACTTTCTGTTCATCTGTGAATCCTGAAAAATAAAATGCATCACAGTTTCCACAGAAATATTGTGCAGCACGACTGTTTTCAACATTGATAATAATCAGAAATGTGTCTCGAGCAGCAGATCAGCATATTATACTGATTTCTGAAGATCATGTGACACTGAAGACTGGAGGAATGATGCTGAAAATACAGCTGCGCATCACAGAAATACATTACAGTTTAACAGAGATTCACACAGAAAACAGCTGTTTGAAATTAGAATAATATTTCACAATATTACTGTATTTTTGATCAAATAAATGCAGCACTGGTGAGCAGAAGAGACTTTCAAAAACATTAAAAGATCATAACCCCAAACTTTGAATGGTAGTATACATAAAAAAGTCATGATGATGCTTTTGGAGAGGAAAAAGAAATGTAACTGAACACATATTTTGTGTCCACACAGCAGCTTGTGTTGCAGGTGTTTAACTGAGGTCACATGACATGCTCTCACCTGCTCCGCAGCAGCTCGCTGGCTGTCAGCTGATGGCTCATTGAGAGCAGAACGTCGGCGCTCTTCTCCTCAGGTGTCTGGATCCTCAGCCTCCTCCCCTCCGCGTCACACACTGAGTCCAGGCCCGTGGCTTTACTGTACGATGGAGGGATGTCCGCCTCGCCCTGCGTCCAGCACACCTGCTCTGCTCTCAGAGGCGTCCGCAGGTCTGAAGTGCTGCTCCAGAGTTTGTCTGGATGCTCTCTCAGTTCTCGCTGGCTCACGGCCTCCTCGACGGTGTCGCTGGTGCCCTGCCGCGAGTAGAGCTCAGTGCACTGCGTGCGGTCACTGCCAGAGCAACACAGAGTTCAGGTCAGTGAGAAGAAATAAGGCTGATAGTTGTAATTCATGCAAATAACCACAAGGGGGGAACGCCATCCCACAAGTCTGACCAGAAGACCAGCATAAAACACAACAAACAGAAAACATATTTCTTTATATATTAATGAATAATCTATAAAATTATTTAATGCATTTGAAAAATATTCAGAATAATACATTGTTTATGTATTAGACAATATATTAAATAATACATTTATATACAAGGAATTTTTGCTTCCATATTAAAAAATAAATTTTTTAAAGTGACCCATCACGTTGCCTTGACTTTTAAAAGTCATTCAATTCCAGTCCAAATATCCTAAAATTTTAATATGAAAATCTGTGCAGCTTTATGTAAACCCAAGCATGACCTCATGAAAGAGAAATGAATTGTCTTAGAATTGCAAGATGTAAACTCGCAATTAAGAGCTCATAACTTATAAATATAAGATATAAAGTCAGTATTCAGAGAAGAAGTCTGCACTGTAAGAATTCTGAGAAAAAAGTCAGAACTGCAAGAAACAAACAAAAAGAGAAGCAGTTACTTTAAAAAAAAATGTTATTCCGTGGCAGAGACAAAATAAAATCATAATTGTGAGATAGTTTGATTTTTATTTAGTTTTACCTCACAGTTATTTATTTATTTATTTTTACTTTTGCTATTCTGTGGCAGGCAGTGCAAATTGAGCAGGATAAATTAATAGTACCTTAGGAAACATCACTAATAATTAATAGACTTATATAATCTGTACGGTGCAGTGTCTAAATTCACTCTGAATATCTGTGTGCAGTGTGCTTTGGCTGTGTGTGAGCAGAAGGTTCTGGAAACACCGTCCGTCTGTCATCACAGGGCTACAGTAACCATCCACAGCTGTGTGTGTGCGTGCATGTGTGTGTGTGTGTGTGTGTGTGCGCGTGCTATATCATTACATTTTATACCACAAAGTTTGGCACTATTTAGACAGCGTATGTCTAGCCAATATATATATATATTTTAAATTAGCAGAGGAATCTGATGATTTGGCGTCAGTGTGTTGGTGAGACAGAAGGGTGTTGTTGAAATCTGGCACACTGAACCCTTGGCAAACACCTTATCTGCAGTGTGCGCCTTACACTGGGTGTAGCGAGAGTCAAAATAAGTCGTCCTGCAAAATAACAGGCTGCTACACTGAACTGAGCTGCTCATTTAATGAGAACAGTGTCTGATTTACAGTTCACAGTCACTAAAATGAAATGACAGAAGCTGCATTCACAAGAAGGTGCGGCTTAGGTCATAATTTTATATACCAGGTTTTTTACTAGTAGACGTCTAGTCCTGTTTTGAGAATCCTCTACAAGCTACTTTGAGCACTTGTATAGACTACTGAGTAGCGTTGGGTGTCGAGGACCAGTTCCAGTTTAGAACCGGTTCAGAATTTCCCAAGTACCGTAGATTCAATAAGACACGCACATTTCAATTTCGCTTGTCTTAATGTGATTTTAAACCATTAAAGCTCAAGAGGATGCAAAAGAGAACTCAATTCGGCACTCGTACACACATCCAACGCATGAACACAGAAAGCTGTCTCGCATATATTGCGCGAATACGGAGTTGAGCTCTCTTTCACGTTTTCTTGAACGGACAAATACACACAAATTAATGTTAAAATTTCCTGGTCTTAAGTGGACATAAACAGTTGTGAAAGAAAGCACATGCGTGTCAGTATATTGGAACAAAATCAGTCTTTGAACCCAATTTAAGTGCCCCTCTAGTGAAAAACAAAGAGTCTTATACACATGCAGGGGATAAACTTGCACTCTGTTCCAGTCTTTTAGCAGAGCCGGCAAAACAGACTGTTTTAGGAAAAGCGTCACTTCAGATATTCCTGTCAATCAAACACACCAACACAATACACAAGACAGGAAACCAGCTTTAGGGGATGTTTTGCTCCAAAGGACAGACATTCTGATTGTGGTGTCAGGTCTCGTCCAAAGAAAGAATGATTACACTGTTCACAAAGGAGAAAAACACAGCCTTTGTTTAACTGGCACAACTAAACCCAAGAAAACCTCCCAGAAAAATGTCTGCAACTCACATGCATCAAGAGCTGGATGATAAAGCTACGAATATTATATCTTCATATTTTCAGCTGTTTGATGAAACTTTATTCCTATCTATCTGATTATCTGTCTGTTTGCCTATCTGTCTATGCATGTATGTCTCTATCTATCTATCTATTTATCTATCTATGTAAGTTATTGATATGAACTGTACTTTAGAAAGTTTTAGAAATGAATCAAACTTACCAATTCTAACAACTTTTTTTCTACTAGAGTTTAAATCAGCTATTAAAACATGTTCACACTTTCATACTAGGCAGGTAAAACTAATTTCATATTTCCAGCAACATTACCTCATGCATTTTGAATATATCACCCAGCCCTGCATGCTCCTGCAGTCGACTGCATAATACACTGCATTTCCTTGGCATGCAATGCACCGTATCCGCTCTGTTTACACGGCAGCCAGATGATTGACGTGCAACTGTAATAATCAGCCATTTCGGCTCTATTAGCTCTCCATTTACAAGTTAGAGGAATAAATACATGTATATTATGCAACTGGGGAGCAGGAAAATGCAGTGGAGCACCATAGCCGTCGATGCTCGTAGAGGACAGAGCTGACACACACTACAGCATACAAGAAGAGAGGAGATATATCAGGCATTGTGAAGTACCTTGGCTGCCCTGATTACATACTGCAGTACAGTTTTGGGCAGTTTAATGACAGACTTTGGTAAAGCCAGCAAAGCAGAGGCAAACTTTCGGATAGCTCTCTACAAGAAATGACAGAGCAGGGATGGGTTAGTCAGGGTCTGCGCTAGTGCTATTACTGCTCTTCCACGCAGGAAGCCAGCAGTTAGCGGTCTGGTACTGTCTCTTCAGCAGATCCATGGACTTCTTCTCTTCTTCTATTCTGGCTTTAACCACCTTCACAATGGTCGCCTGAAACAACTCCGCTCCTCTGACAGACAAACAAAGAGGAACAGAGACACGAAACACAGTCTGAATACGTCAAATGTACTCTTTTTTTATCTACTTATTTATTCATCATTTCATTTGATTCAGAAAGCTGTCATGGTGTCTTTTACTGTGTGCCAATTGAGAAGATATTTCTTAGAAATGAAGTTAAAAATAACCAATAACATAATATTAGATGCAGGCTTATTATAGGTAACTAAAACTAAAACCGTGACTAAAATTAAAACCGAATGAATAAATAAATAAATAAAATACTTGAAATAAAATAAACATTAACTGAAACAAATATTAAAAATGTTTTATTTCAGCTACAACATTTCTCATTGCAATATTCTTTAACTTTTAGTACTAAAATAACGAAAAATAATAATAAAAAAATACATAGAGACAAAAAAACTATAAAAAGATAAAAACACAACAAAATTACTAAAACATAAATTAAATTAAATTAAATAAAAAACTATAATAGTAAATCAAAGGTACTAAAACGACACTGGTTAGATGATTACATGCAGGCAAACATTAAAAGCGACTGTAAAGCAGACAGCAGTAACCCAGAGCATGTGTGTGTACCTGGAGGCGAGGACCTGCGAGGAACGGATGTCAGCTACCACGTGTAGGAAGTAGTAGCTCATGAAAACTCGCCTCTGCAGCAGGAGAAAGGCGAAGCAGATGCTGTCCCAGATGATCCCGGCCTCGTCACTCGGCAGCTCGCACTGCTTATTTGCGTTCTGCTCCGCTGCGAGAGAATCATCAGAATCTAATCAAGCTCTGCTGGACACTAGAATATTACAGTATTGCTCATTAAAATTAGTTAACTATTAATGCTCATAAAGCTTTTCAGTCATTTTTTACCCATTCTATTAGTGGCTTTTTATACAAATGGTTTTCTCAATCTGAGCGGTGCAACACTTTTCTGTAGATAGGCAATCTGAACATACAAAACAACTAAATATACTTTATTCATCGAGTCTGAGTGAACAGTTCACCCAAAAAATCAGGTCATCAGAGATTTTGAGTTTGTTTCTTCATCAGGTTTGGAGAAATGCAGCATTGCATCAGTGTCTCAGCAATGGATGCTCTGCAGTGAATGGGTGCCGTCAGAATGAGAGTCTGATAAAAACATCACAATAATCCACAGCACTCCAGTCCATCAGTTAACATCTGGAGAAGACAAAAGCTGAAACTAATCCAGCATTAAGACGGCTGTTTGGACTCTCATTCTGACGGCACCCATTCACTGCAGAGCATCCATTGCTGAGACACTGATGCAGTGCTGCATTTCTCCAAACCTGATGAAGAAACAAACTCATCTACATCTCAGATGACCTGAGGGTGAGCACATTCTCAGCAAATTATCATTTTTGGATGAACTATTCCTTTAAAATAGTTTTTATTTTTTATTACCACAATTAATTATATATTATAAGACGATTACATTAAAATAGTTTTTAATATAATTATTATTTAAAGCAACACTGTATGATTTTGATTGTTTTATATAATACTACCAGAACCTATTTTACAGGAGAATACAGACAACTGATGATCATGCTAGGTTAATTTTAGCTTAGATAATAGTTAATCAAACACATCTAATAGATCTCAACATGACAAAGAAAATAACTTACGTTTTGAATATCCTTTTATAGTGCAAGCCAGACTGAATAACTGGATCAGCCAGCAGTGATTGGCCACCAGCGCTTTAATATATCCACACGCCGCGATCTGAGAGCCGAGAGAACAGAAGCCACAATCACATCCACAACAACCCAAACCATCTCTTTGCTATCTCACATACTGCATGGACCTCTTTAAAAGAGTGTGTAATTATTAGTCGAATCCCACAAACGCTTCACGTCTTTCACACCCTCTGAATTCAGACCCACAAAAATGCAGAGCGCTATTAACAGAATTATGTTTTATGTCAGAGGCAAAGTTCAAGCTAATTTACAACAGCTTTGAATGAAGTGAACTCTGACTGAGTTACAATTGAATTATGAGTGAGGGGATTTATGAGGTACTTACTGAGAGAATGTTTTTCATGGTGATTACGAAGACGTTGTATGCTATGAGGAAGTCCCAGTAATGAAGGATGCTTTTGATTGGCTTCAGTAACAGCTCGCCCCCAAAGATCAAGAAGTAGAAGCAGGCGACCAAGTATCCCATGCAGAAGATGCTGATGCGTGTGGTGCCCGTGATGAAGATGATGGTCAGGACGAACCAGAACAGATAGCTGAACACGATCACCTTCAGCATATCCAAATACGACCTGAAAACGAAGATTGAAGTCGGTGAAAAGTTTTTTTTTTTTTAAAGAAATTTATACTTTTGTTCATCAAGCATGCATATAATTGATCAAAAGTGACAGTAAAGGCATTAATAATGTTGCAGTAGCTTTCTATTTCAAATAAATGCTGTTCTTTTGAACTTTCTGTTCATCTGTGAATCCTGAAAAATAAAATGCATCACAGTTTCCACAGAAATATTGTGCAGCACGACTGTGTTCAACATTGATAATAATCAGAAATGTTTCTCGAGCAGCAGATCAGCATATTATACTGATTTCTGAAGATCATGTGACACTGAAGACTGGAGTAATGATGCTGAAAATACAGCTGCGCATCACAGAAATACATTACAGTTTAACACAGATTCACATAGAACACATATGCTTTACACTGTAATAATATTTCTAAATGTTACTGTTTTCACTGTATTTTTAATCAAATAAATGCAGCCTACATGAGCTGAAAAGTCTTTCAGAAACATTAAAAATCGTATTGATCCCAAACTTTTGAATATATGCATCATTATTAGTATTCACATATATTTACTATCATTTTGATCTAGTCAGACTGTTATGAGAGGACAATATTGTCTTTGTCATAAAGTTCAAGAACACTGACTGTAAATAATGCAGTGATATGATAATATTTGCTAGGAAAGGCCGTTATGAGCAATTTTTGCTAATAACATTCAACCCCAAACCTTTCTGCATCAAAAGGCACCGTTTCCTCAGAATTAACCTGTAGCACATTACCAGTTTACTTAGATTTACTGGAATCTGCAACTTTAGTAATAAGTATAATGACAAAGAAGTGGAAAAACTGACCGCACAAGTCTTAATATATGATCAGAGCAGCAGGCAGGCGTCATTAAAATCTCCAAATTCCTTCATCACCATCATCATCTCTAATTGTTTGGACTGGCTGAAGCTGGAGAATCACTATGGTTTTTCTACAGCTGATGAATGACATGCTCAAAGATAAATGACCCTGATTTAGAAACACTATTCATCGTCTCGTTTTTCTCTAGCGTAATAAGCAGAGGAAGCTCCGCTGATCCCGAGACCACAAACTAAGATTGCAGGCTTGAAACATTAGCAATGTAATTACGACTGAAGTGTTTTCTGGGTCAGACAGAGAGAGCAATCAGAGTATAACAGCGTTTTTCTTTGAACTGTTAGTCTGTATCTGCGGTTCTCAACCTTTCTGATTTGAAGCCCCTTCACTGTCCAACACAACATTTGAAAACACCACCATATAGGCTAAGATGTTTTCTCCGGTGTTTATGATAATTATGTAATTCTGCTGCTTGGTTTCAAACTTTTTTTATTAACAGAAACTGTGAGTGTTGAAATAACCACTGGTCTATGTGATGCTGAGGGGAAAACAACAGGAATACAGATCATTCATGCTATTTCTGTTTTAAAATGGACCTTCAAAAGAAGTATTTCAGAGTGACAAGTATCTCAGCTTCCAAATTCTGCCAATTTTATCACCAAATTCAAACAATAAATGTGGTTTAAATGTGAGGTGACAGATCGCTGTAGCCTCACATGAACTGATCATCTCTTCCTCTTTACTACTAGTTATAGCACCAAAATAAACATGAATGAACATCACACAGTGTTAAAAAATACAGTCTCATGTAACTGATCAATCAGTGTTTCAACTGCATGTCACATAACATCACATTTACCTCAGAAAAGACATTCAATGTCCAAAAAAAAAAACCTCTAGAGAGAAGCGTGTTGACAAATATGTGCACTATATAGCATATTCATTATAATTACACTTAACCTGTTGTGTTCATTATTTAATGCATGTTTGAATAAATCTATCATAAAAACAAGTTATTTCAGCCACCATTTAAATGTGCATATTCCAACAAATAATTGGAGTAGAAGTCTAACTCTGTTATTAAAAAGTTGACATAAAAAGTGCCTTATGAGCAACTTAAATGTTTGTACATCTTTGAGTGTTGATTATTAAATCTGTTTGATTAATTAACTGATTATTAAATAAAATTACACGTTTCAGGTTTGGTTTCAGTTTTTGGCTCAATGAAAACTTTAATTTAATTAATTCAGTCATGTATTTATTTATTTATACTAATTCTATTCATTAAAAAAAATGTTGCAATAATATTAATACAGTTATACAAGAAAACTACTTTAAGTTAAAAAAAGGTCATTTTTGAGTTTGGTTATGGTTTTCAGCCAAGTGCATCCTGAATTTTCATTTCCGTTTTGGCCAAGAATTTTCATTTTGGTGCATCACCAATACTAAATATGCATATGGAAATTCATTTCTTCTAGTCAGTGCTGTTTGCATCAGATGTGTACCTGCAGTGGATGAAGTCGGGCACAGGGTTGTGCTGGCTGAAGCTGGCGGCGTCCAGGTCTCGACAGATCTCCACATTATCACCCGCCAACAGCTGCACGGCTGCCACATTCTCCTCCTCAAACACACGGCCCTGAATCGACGCGCACAGCAGCAACATGAAGTCATCTGCAGAGAGAGAGAGAAAAGATCGGGCAACGTGATGAGAGAGCGTTAAAGCAGAGCTGGGGAGCGTTAACACAGATTCAACATTACTCACAGAGGAGGAAGAGCGAGCTGGGTTTGGTGTGGAAGTCTGGGAAGTAAAGCCACTTGATGACGTTTGAGTCCATGCTGGAAGACGGCCGTCTCCACGGATAGTCTGAACCAAAGGAGAGATATTAATGAAATTCAGAAAAACGGTCAAGGGCTGTCTTGAAGACAACCAAAGAGTGGAATTGCTGTTTTCTTAAAAAAATAGTTCGTCCAAAAATGTGAAATTACCTGAAAATCTACTCATCCTCAGGTCATCCCAGATGTAGATGAGTTTGTTTCTTCATCAGGTTTGTAGAAATATAGCACTGCATCAGTGTCTCAGCAATGGATGCTCTGCAGTGAATGGGTGCCGTCAGAACGAGAGTCCAAACAGCTGATAAAAAGACGATGTGATCTGCTGTTGTCTCTCACATCAAAATCCAGACACATATGTGTTTAGAGCTGTTTAAGCGCTGCTTGATCTGTGCAGATTTCTCTCCTGATTCACACCAGAACACTTTTTCACTGGAGGAAGCGTTATTATGGATTATGAACTCTATAGTATTTTAGTTCAAAACGTCTTAACGCTGGATGTGTTTCAGCTTTTGTCTTCTCCAGATGTTCACTGATGGACTGGAGTGCTGTGGATTATTGTGATGTTTTTATCAGACTCTCATTCTGACGGCACCCATTCACTGCAGAGCATCCATTGCTGAGACACTGATGCAATGCTACATTTCTACAAATCTGATGAAGAAACAAACCCATCTACATCTGGGATGACCTGAGGATGAGTGCATTTTCATTATTGAGTGAACTGTCTCTTTAAGCAGACACCTGTGTGACTCACCTGTGCAGGCCGCAGGAGGGATGCCGATGCACATCAGATACTGGAAGGCTAACATGCAGGCCAGAAAGAAGCAATACTTGGACCAGACGCGGGCGATGGCTTTTCTCCTGCTCTGATACATCACCACAATCAGACCGAACGCGTGCAGCATGGCATAGAAATCCATCCGCTGGCCGATCACATTCACCGCTAACAGAAAACAGGTCTGGAGGAGCAACATTCAGCCGCGGGTTTCAAATTAGGACAATAATAGGTGCATTTGATAGCATGACTATACAAAAATTAAAATTCAATATCCATCACGTAACCCTGATCCATTACCGTAACACTCTATTGTGGTTTATCTGTCTCAACAGTGTGTTAGCAATCTGAGCTTCAGATGGTAATCTATTAGAGACTGTCTCACAGACAGAGAGTAAATCAGTGTCTGTACAAAACCAAAACTGCCCATCAAAAGGGAGAATGTGATTTTGCCAAGTAGGACACATTCATGTTCCTTCAAATCAGCATATTATACTGATTTCTGAAGATCATGTGACGCTGAAGACTGGAGGAATGATGCTGAAAATACAGCTGCGCATCACAGAAATACATTACAGTTTAACACATATTCACAGAGAACACAGCTGTTTGAATTTGCAATAATATTTCATAATTTTTACTGTATTTTTGATCAAACAAATGCAGCCTTGGGGATCATTAACGAAACTCATACTTTTGAATGGAAGTGTATATATTCATTAACAGACATAATTAGAGACTGTCTCACAGACAGAGAGTAAATCAGTGTCTGTACAAAACCAAAACTGCCCATCAAAAGGGAGAATGTGATTTTGCCAAGTAGGACACATTCATGTTCCTTCAAATCAGCATATTATACTGATTTCTGAAGATCATGTGACACTGAAGACTGGAGGAATGATGCTGAAAATACAGCTGCGCATCACAGAAATACATTACAGTTTAACAGATATTCACATAGAAAACAGCTGTTTGAATTTGCAATAATATTTCATAATTTTTACTGTATTTTTGATCAAACAAATGCAGCCTTGGGGATCATTAACGAAACTCATACTTTTGAATGGTAGTGTATATATTCATTAACAGACATAAAGCTGATATTACCTCAAGACCAAATTTGTAGAAGAAGTAGTCGATGAAATATTTGGCGCAGTTGACGATGCCGTGGTCCAGATGCTGGCGTGTGATGTTGTGAAAGACGGTTCTCGTGACCGGAGGGGTGAGGTTGTTCTTCATCCGGTAGAAATCCTGGTGACGGTAAATGGTCACTTCAAACGCCAAGAGAGCCAGCATCAGTAAGTTATTCTGTGTGCGGAAAATACACAAATAAAGGGATAAGGACAATATTGAGGTGTATGCAGGGTCCGAAATTAACAACCACATGAGACAAAAGCAAGCATAAATCGGCATAATGTACATTTGCTCATGTTGCCAGTGGCTGCTAACTTTATTAGGAGCTGCTGGATAAAATCTTGATTAAATGTTATTTAGAGAATGATGTTCCGACCCTTACGGTACAGTCACTTTAGCTAAATTCTGGTGAAATTTTGCAGGCAAAAAAGGTAAATGATCTATTGTCAATAGTTTAGTGATGTATGAAGCACAGCTCACACAGAAATCATTTTCAAACTGAGCAGCTTTTACAGTTATTACAGTAAAAATGTAAACTAAAACCACAATAATAATAATAACAAATAAAATAAACCTTAACTGAATAAAATAAAATATATAAACTTTTTATTTTAGCTAGTTGCAAAGCAACATTTCACATTTTAGTTAAGTCTGCCTTGATGTACTAAAATACGTCAAACTAAAACTATACAGACATATTCATTTTTCTTAACTAAAACTAAAATGAAAATGGGTAATATTAAAATAAAAAAGCTGCTTCAAAATATTAACAAAACCTATAATTGTATATGAACCCTCATGTAAAATTCATGATCGCGTGGATCAGCGCTATTGTAGTATCACGGATATACTATTATAGTTTTTTATTAATTTAATATTTTATTAATAATGTTTCTGTTTTAATTTTAATTTTAAAGTGTTATAATTTTTTTAGTAACTTTTTCATAAATACATATCTATATTGTTTTTATTATGTTTTATTTCAGTTTCAGTTTTAGTTATTTTAGTACATCAAGTTAAACAATTAAAATGAGAAATGTTGCCTTGGCAACTAGCTGTATATATATATATAAACTAACTATATTATATCAGTAACTTTTATTTTATGTCAATAAAAAAACATTTTGTTTCAATGGTTTTTATTCTAATTTCAAATTCAAATTTTAGTTTTAGTTAACTATAATAATTTTGGTGGCATCACGTGGAATTATTACAAGCCACCAAAATGGTCTTATTTACATTTTTGTGTGTAGTTTTACTGAAAATAATCATAAAAAAGTAAAAATAATCCCACTGTCCTAGGGATAGAATATATTTTGATTAATAATAAATGAGAATATTTTCTCCGATCACCCAGCACTGTCAGATCACTGTGTTCAGACGCTGAGCACGTGTGTCCGTACCCTCAGATTCTCCAGCAGCGGAGAGAACTTCCTGAAGCCGATCCAGTTAGCCGGATCCACCGGGCCGCTGTAGAGCAGAGATCTGGCCATGTCTGAGCGCTGAGCGTCCGTGTAGTTCTCCGGCTGGAGGAGAGAAGCACAGACTCGGTCAGAACCAGAGCGTCTGTGTGTGTCCCGAGTGAGCGAGTGAGGACTCACCATACTGCAGCTCCTGGAGTACGAGGACGGGTTGATGGAGGTCAGCTGGTACAGCATCTTACAGACCACGATGACGCAGGTCCAGACGGTGCAGACGCTAGATGCCAGCGGTCTGAACTGACTGAAGGGCAGAGCGAAGGCCCAGCTCACCAGGAACACGTAGTTAAACAGAGACACCTGACAGAGTCACAGACATGTGGATGAGGAGGACGCAAACCAGCTGATCTGAGATGCTCTAGCGGCTTGAACAATGTGGTCATCTAGGTTTTCACATTTGCGACCCTGAAGCACAAAAGCAGTCTTAAATCGCTGGGAATACATTGTATGGGTCAAAATTATAGATTTTTTAATGCTAAAAATCATTAGGATATTAAGTAAAGAACATGTTCCATGAAGATATTTTGTAAATTACCTACTGTAAATATATCAAAACTTAATGTTTGATTAGTAATATGCATTGCTAAGAACTTCATTTGAACAACTTTAAAGATGATTTTCTCAATATTTAGATTTTTTTGCACCCTCAGATTCCAGATTTTCAAATAGTTGTATCTCAGCCGAATATTGTCCTATCCTAACAAACCATACATCAATGGAAAGCTTATTTATTCAGCTTTCAGATGACACATAAATCTCAATTTTTAAAAAAATTTACCCTTATGACTGGTTTTGTGCTCCAGGATCACATTTTTGGAAATGTTTAGAGAGAGAAAAGTGTTAAAAAATAAACTAAAATTGATAAATAAAAATAAAGAAATTAAAAATAAGATAAAATTGATTAAAATTAAAGCATTATTAGATTCAAACTAAAATAAATAATAAATAAATCAAATAATAAATAATAAATGAGCAAATAAATAAAAAGCAACTGAAAACAAACAAACAGAAGCTAAATAATATTTTAGACACATTTATAATTTTTCACAGTAAAAAATGGTCTTTAAATAAGAAACAATATACAGTAGATGCCATTTAAATTTCAGTGGCAGCGTTATTTTACTATCATTGAGATACTATTATAGGTTTTTTTAATATTTTGAATTAACTGCTTTCATGTTAATTTTAGTTAAAGTTTTAGTAAATTTATTGTGTGTTTTGTCATTTTTAGAAGTTTATATATATTTATATATATATGTCTAGTGTTTATTAATTTTATTTGATTTAATTTAGTACATCAAGTTAAACTAAATGGAAATGAGAAATGGCGCCTTGAAAACTAGCTGAAATATAGTAAGTAAATCATGTTTTATCTCAAATAACATTTAATATATTTCAAGTAATGAAAATGTTTTTTTTTATGGTTTTAGTTTTAGTTAACTATAATAACTTGCTTGAGGATGATTATTTGTGGGTCTGTGGCGTTTAAAAGCCTGAAAACCGCTGCCTGTAGTCCATGTAGGTCAGGTGAGCACACAGAGCGCTCTGCTTTAGCTGGCCTGTCCATGAGCGATCACGAAGCTGTGATTGCTCCTCACCTCTCTGACTGAGAGCCAGATGATGTAGGACGAGACGATCTTGATGATGTGAAGCTCCAGCAGCCACCAGATGAAGAGCTGCAGCTTCTGAACACACTCCAGGAACTTCAGGAACAGCACCGTCAGACGCTCCACCACCAGACGCCACTTATTCTTCAGCTCTTCACACGAGAACAACACATGCATCACTCACAAACACTTACCAAGACAATGCCATAAGAGTTCTGGAAGTTATTTAACTGGACATTAAATATTCAGGAATGACTCTAACTCAGATTAAGATCCCAAAGTGCTACTCTGAAGAACACATCAGTGCTGTTTTTAAAGGAGTCATCGGATGCCCATTTTCCACAAGTTTACTAACTATATTATATCAGTAACGTTTATTTTATGTCAATTTAAAAAAATGTTGTTTTAATGGTTTTTATTCTAGTTTCAAATTCAAATTTTTGTTTTAGTTAACTATAATAATTTTAAAGTTGATATGATTCTTTAGGGTCTTAATGAAACGTCTGTAACATAGTTTGGTTAAAATTTCTCAATGGTAGTGTAAAAAACACCTTTTTTCCCCCCTCAAGCCGTTTTGTAGCATTTTCCTTTAAATGTTAATGAGCTCTGCTGGCTCCGCCCCTCTCTTCCGAGCTGCTCTCAGAGAGACTGTTTACTTTAGCCGCGTTCATCGTGAAACTCGCTAATTAGCACATTATTAGGAAAGGCGATTTGCAAAGATTCATTACAAAAACCTTGTACTCGCTTCTTCTGTAGATGAGGCTGGATCACGAATGATTCACGCAAACATAGACGCATTTATGTAGATCAGGGACGCATTCCCTTCAGAAACAAACATAATCCACTGCGTCTTCAACAAGAGAACACCTCAATCGCTTGTTAGGAGTCATTCTTGTCTACATCTGCTCCGGCGGTGAAACAATGGCGGACTGATG